GATGCTGGGGTTAATGTACGGATGGATTGATGTTCTAAACTTATCACACCCCGGGGGGCGGGGGGGGTGGGGGGCGAAAAAAAAAAAAACCGGAGGCGCTTTAGGGGGGGGGAGAGAGGGGCAATGAGGACGGGGAGAGTGGGAACACGGAGACCTAGCAGTTTAAGAAGAGACAAAAGAAGGATTCTCGGGTGGGGGAGGGAGGGACCGGCGCGCGGGGGGAGAGGGCGTGAAAGAAATAGGCTGATAGATAGGAAAAAACCTAGGGCATCCAAGTATACAGTTCTAAGCACAAACATCAGTAAGCTGTGTATTGGTTATCGGGGCAACTGGCCACTCCCCCATCACCAAAATCAAATACAGCAGCCCGCCGGGGACCAGTCATTTTCGGTTTGCATTAATTCAAGCGTTTTTCTAATTAAGATCAATAAAGAAAAGGCAAAGTGGTTCGGATAAGTAGTAACTATTGGACTATTAGCGGGGACTCCTCTCCCTCCCCCCCCTCCATCCCCCACACCATCACCGGCACCACAAACACCGCAACCAGCAAACGAAGAAGAAGAAGAAGAAGGAGAAGACAAACCCAACACAACCGCGTTACCATCGCGGCCGAAGAATCAACAACACCCGGAGGAGGAGGAAGAAGAGGAAAAGGAAGTGGAAACGGACGACGACCACCACCACCAGAACCACGCAAAAACGGGGCTTGCAGCGCGCAAGCCAGTCCCCGCGATACGCGCCGACCCAGACTCAGACTCAGACTCGGATCCGGAACCGTCCCCACCGTTGTTGCCGCGGAATCCGGTCGCTGCGGAGGCGGCTGAGGGGAGGGGGGCGTGGGAGAGGTGATTTGATGTACCTTGTATCTTGGGTGCATCTACTGTGGACCTGTGTATGACGGGGGGTGATAGATTTGTCGGTTGGGTGGGTGGGTGGTTTGGGCTGGTTGGTTGGTTGGTTGGTTGGTTGTTTGGATGGGATGGCATATGGCGACTTGGGGCGGTTGAGGAGCACAGCACAGCACAGCACAACGCAAAACAACAGGGCGGGGAGGGTACGGCATAGTACGGTCGAGCAACAGCAAGCTTGGATGTTGTGATGGATGGATAGAAATACGGGCTGGCTGGCTGGTTGGCCCTTGTATTAGATGAGGCAGAACAAACAGCCTGCTCTCTTTTGGCTGCGGGATTAGAACAATGAGAGTGACTGAAGGAGTTGTTACAATCAATACCAGTCGGCGGTCGTGGGTCGATTGTTACCGCTAGGGCGGCATATCAAAACGGCAGATGCATCTGATGGATGGATGGTTTGGATTACAGAGTATGAGCATAACCGAGATACCAGACTCACCACAAAATCCAGGGGATGGGAGGGATGCACATAATAGACGAGCTTTTACTTTCTTCTGATGTAGGATGTTTGTCATTGAATTGAGTTTCAGAGCCAGGCCTAACCATGTCACCAGAGACAAGGGTTTGTTTGTCCAGAACGACTATGCAAGCAAACAGGAAACCGACGATCCCAGGTAGCAGATAACGAGTTCATAATTATGCACGTCAATATAATCCAACCAAGCCCGAGCGAATCCATCGTCACCCTCGTAAACCACTACCCAGCTGGTTACCCACGCCCCTTGTATATAACCACCGCGTCTCGACGAACGCGGGATCACAGCCCCTTCCCAAGACTCCTTCTCGCCCGATATAGTCAAACTCCCACCCAGCAAGCAAACAACCCCAGCGACAGAAGAGGCCCTGCCGCTGCCCCGCGCCACCCCGAACCCCTTTTCTTCTTCACCTTGGTTGGGGGCACGGAACAAAAAGGAGACTACCTCCCCGTCTTCCGAACGCCGACAGAAGCAGATGGCAGTTTTCGGCGACAACTTAGGCCCCGTCCCGTAACGGCGGTCCTAGTTTATTTTTGAGACTCCATTCTTGACCCCGGATATTTCAGCTCCAGGCTCATTGTGCGAGATACTGCTGCTGGTTCTCCATCTCCCCGACGCTGGCGGCTTCGACGTTGTGGTAGTCGAGAATCTCTGAGTACCTGTTATGGTCAGGTTAGCCAATTGCGCCGAGAAAGGAGAGGATGTCCTCTTGAACTCACATCATGATCTTCCAAGTGTCGACGGGTAGATCGGCGTCGTTGAAACTCCAATCGAACTTTAGCTCGGCGGTGGGCTCGTCGGTGGGGTCATGGTAAGGCGCCAGGTACTCGTGAGCGAGGGCCTCGGTCGCCGTTATCCGCTTCTTAGGATCGAAGACGAGCATGCGCTCAAGGAGGTCAATGGCTAGCGGGGGTTAGACAGATCCTCTCTAAGAATCGGTGAAGGAAAGGACGTACCCGTCGGGTCGGCATTCTTGAACTTGTTCTTGAGGGGTTGCCTCTCACGCATGGGGAGTGACTTGACGAATCGTAGGGTCTGGTCACCGAGTCAGCAATTGCCCTAGCATACTTTCTCCACCGTAAGGGCCACGCACATTCTCACTAGCAATGGTGTTGATAACGTCGTCTGGTGGCGTGCCGAGGAGCTCGGTGATGATAGAGAACTGGTTGACGTGGTCCTTGCCGGGGAAGAGCGGCTTGCCCTCGAGCATCTCGGCAAAGATGCAGCCGGCGCTCCAGATGTCGACCTCGACGTCGTACTTTTGCCAAGTGAGCATGATCTCGGGCGCACGGTAGTATCTCGTTGATACGTAGCCGGTCATCTGCGGGTCCTGGATACGGGCCAAGCCAAAATCGCAGATCTTCAGGTCGCAGTTCTCGTTGACCAAAATGTTGCTGGGCTTCAAGTCCCTATGAACGACGCCGGCAGAGTGGACATATTTGAGACCGCGCTGGAAACCGTTAGCTCGGGATCCGGCGACGCCCATCCGACCCGACACCCACCATGATCTGGTAAAGGAAGTACTGAATAAACTGCTTCTCCAGGGGCCTCGAGGTGAGTAGCCTGTGGAGGTCGGTGCCGAGGAGCTCTGTGACGAAATAGATATCCTCGAGCGGAGAAATGAAGATGTCGCTGAGGGAGATGACCTGCGTAAATCGCGTCAATTGCTGCCATGGCAGGGACCGGGGAGTTGTTGGGGAAACCGACATTCTCGTGCTTGAGGTGCTTGAGCAGCTTCAACTCACGATACGTCCTCTTGGCGAGCACAGGGGTGCTGAAGGGCTTCATAATTTTTTTGATGGCGACATTCTGGCTGGTAAGTTGATCCTTCGCAGAGCTGAAAAGGAAAAGAACCGTTTATTAGCATTTCCATTCCGTCTCATTGTTTTTATTCTTATTTTTAGTTTATTTTTTCCCTGGAGAAGGCCAGCACGTACCAAACCAAGCCGAACGCTCCCATGCCAACGGGCTGGAGGTCGGAATATCTAGTGGAAATCAGCCAACCCGATTTCCTAGTTCACAATTCCTTATCGTACCTCGAGGTGATCTCGAAGGTGGTCCCAAAGATCTGGGCGCGCACGAATTCGGCCATGGCGGGCGATGTAGGCTTGTTTTATTGTGTGTGTTTCAAGATGGCTGATGACGATGCGGAGGTGCGGGGCAGTGATCGAGTGCGGCGGGGCAGTCGAGTCGAAGGTGAGATTGAGAAGTGTGTGCGCGTGTTGAGCCGGTGGTCGGCGTTGAACGATGGTGATATGTGCTGCCAACAGACGAGCGTTGTTGGAGAGGTGAAACGAACAGCAAAAGGCTGGGATAACAAAAGCTCGAGATTTCGCCGAGTGCTCGATTAACTACCCAAGGGGGTCTCGGTGGTGGGGAGATCGAAGGCGATCGGAGTAACAGCGGGGCCGGATGCTTCAGAACTGGGTCCTGGAGGCGAAATGACAAAGTTTAGCTCAGGCTCCCAAAACGGGGGGCTGCACTGGGGTTGCACTGGAGACAAGCGGAATGGTGTCGGTGTCAGAGTCGGAGGTGCGCTGCGGGTAATTGATGAATGAGTACTGAAAGATGCAAGCAAACGCTTACCCTTGATGTTCGAGTTGTCGTCGAGAGCAGCTCTCAAGGGCTGTCGGGTCGCCGCGTCTTAATTGCGGTTTTCGGCTGCAGTGCGATGCAGCGGGCTTTACCCGCGCGTGCTGGGACGGAAAGCACACAAGTCGGCGATCGCTGCTGCGACGAGCGGGGGGTGAGGGGGGATTGGCCAACAGGCAGACACCCGCTTTTAGGGGGGAAGCTTCGTTTCGGCCTGGGGCCGCTTCTGTGTCTTCTCGATAACCCCCAAGCCCAGTCCGCAACGTAACGGGTCTGGGATCGCAAATTGAATATTTTACGCTCCTGTTCGCGTCGCGAGAAGACGAATTGATTGGGTAGCTGCACAAGCTTTCGAAGGTGTCAGAGCCAGCTGTCCTCGTGCTATTGCGTTGTAGCTTGGGCCACCGGCAAGCACTTACACAACACGTGTGTGTACAAGCACAAACTGCCGAGTCAAGTCGAGCTTGTCAAAGGATGTCAAGTTGCCGAGGAAGGCCGAGCGCAAGGTCGATGGGTCGAGGGTCGAGGGTCGAGATGCGATGGGAGGGGAGGAGGAGGAGGAAGACGAGAAGAGCTGGCACTAGCAACTATTATAAACGTATGCTCGGAAGCAGGTGGGCGGATAGGAAGTTCAAGTATTCTGACCAGCCGAGCCAGCTACCTCGAGCTGGGATGGCGCGGTTGGCACGACAGGGTCCCCAAGATGGATGCGACGCGGGGCCGGTTTGGGGAACAGGATGTCAGAAAACTTTCCAAATTCCATGGCACTCCCGCTTTCCCGTCCCTCCCGAGCATCCAATCCCGCTCGATACAAGCTATACGTATACCTATGTATGTACTCCAACGGTGCATTGCGCACGCTGCAGCACAAACCCTCCCCTGACAGCTATCTCGGCGCCGCCCGCTTGTGGTTTAGCCACGCATCTTTGCGATACAACACATCAGGTCTGTCGATGCTCGGATGGATTCCCACTGGCTGAATTCCCATTTGTGTGCGGGTCTCGACCGATGACGATACAGCACATGCCCAAGTGTCCTGCAGTCACAAAATGTAGTCTTCTGTTGTGCGCCATTGTTCGTTTCTTGCTATCTCAGTGTTTGAGCAGGATTCGTACTGAAGCTATACACAGAGGTATTCGCACACCGAGAGAGAAACCTCCGTGCCGATATGGGGCACCTTCAAGGCCCCGCAGCCACTCAGCATCGGGGCCGTTGCCGAGACTTCTCATTGGAGCGGGGCCTCTTTCTTTGCAGCTTCTGCTCAAAAGGTGCGATGACGTAGACGGGGTCGTTTGGTGGGGGTTTCCAACCCAGTCGTGGCGCAGGCCAATGGACCACCACGAATTTCGATGGCTTTCCCCGCTGAACCACCTCTAAACCAGGTGGTTCAGCGGGGCAAAGAAAAGAGATGCTGCAACACTTGGCTCGTTTGGCGGTGCGGGTTCCGTACCTAGCGATTTTCCATCGCGATCGATTCAGGCGGAGAAGAACCTCCGGCAAAGAAAAAGGTCCTCAATAATCGGCACTCCACAACTAAACCAGCTCGCGAGCCCAAGTTGTGTCAGAGAATCTACCCAGCCGTGTCCATACTCTGGAGCAGCCCGCAGTGCAACGCGCACTCGCAAGTCACATGGCTCTATCCTCATTTACGTGCAACACGCCCTCATATATTACTCTGTAGCTTTCTTCAGCTATCATTGTCGCCGCCCAGGGGTCCCAACGCCAAGAACGCAACATCCCGAATCAGACCCTGGGATCATCAGGGGCGACGAGATACGGGGGGCAAATTCAATAATCGTTGAAGCAGATCAGGCCATACACCAGGCAGTTAAAAAATAAGGTTCTTCATGAACTGTAGTATGTACTCGTGACGGTATTGTGTACTTTACCGTTACCGCCACAAAGCAATGAACCCGGATCAAGGTATCAGCAATCCCCGAAAGTCAGTTGTCTGGCTCCCTGGTACGGTATCAAGGTATGCATCTGGCCAGAAAGGCCCTGATCTTGGGCATCTCAGCCCACCCGAAATCAGAAGCACGATGACGACAGACGGCAGCCGCGGGGAAAAGAGAAATCAAAAGCTCAATCGAACAGCCAGACTCGAACCAGGGTGGGAGGTATGCATGATGACGTCACCATGGCCAGACCCCTCCCCACTCCGCTCCGACCTCGAACATGGCGGGGAAAACTCGACACGGGTATACTGACATGGAAGTCAGGTAATAAACGTCAAAGACAGGTCATAGGCACGAGGTTCAGACGGTGGCAGAACCGGGTTGTAAGGCCCAACTACCTAAATTCCTCATCGAGGCGTCAAACTCTTGGTCCACATAGACTATAACTCCGCTATAGAATTAGGTAGAAAAGTCAGAATGAACCAAACTATAATTTGACATCTGTACCCTCAAGGACCTGAACTATGGTAAAGGGCGAGGCATGAAGTAAACATTCACGAATACTAGATCACAATTTCGATTCACACATTAGGTCCCGAGTTAAAGTCAGGAAAAAATTACCAAACTCGCTCAAGTTGCTTACTACATACAACTCGCTGCAAAGAGACCACCTCAAAACAAAAGACTAAAGAAATCATCCCTCAGGAACTCCCGGCAACCGATGCTGCCGCGGAGACGACGACGGCTCCGGTTCCAGATCCCATCGAGTCCCAAAGCTGATCAATCGATCTTCTCTGCCTCCGAACGACAGCAAATACGATATGTCCTCGAGGAACTCAGTATAGAACCAAACAACAAACCGAATGATAGCAGTGCACAATGCTACCAGGACAGCCACAAGCAGCAACGACGTTGCCCGTATTAACAGATGACGAACAAGCCCCCAAAACAGCTCGCGTACATCCCATTCAAATGCCAGGCGGGGGCCCCTCTCAGGGTCCGCCTCAGGGTCCATCTCAGGCTCATCCTCTCGTCCCCACTGGGGCTCATCCTCGGGTTCATCCTTGGGTTCCTCACTCGCCGTAATTCTAACACCTGTATCCGAATTGATGGGGTCGGGCGTGGTACTTTGAACACCAACCTCCCCAGCACCACCTTGCTCGTCCCTACCGTCCTCTGGGTTGCCGTCCTCGTCACTGCTGCCCTTTCCGGCGCCCCCACTGCTTCCACCCGCTGCCTAAGCATCCTAAATCGCCTTGTCCTGCGTCGTATTCAATGGCTCCACATTCCAGATCCCCTCAGCATACTCGTTGATGCACCTGTCGGAGCTGAAGAAGCCCATGCGCGAGACGCTCGTGATGCACTTGGTGATCCAGCCTTCCTGGTCGCGGTACGCCTCGTCAACGGCGGCGTGCGAGTCGACGTAGCTCGAGAAGTCGTCCGAAACCAGGTAGTAGTCTCCATGGTCGCGGACCGCCGCAATCAAGTCGGAAAAGTCCTTGGGGTTGCCAAACGTGCCTTTTTCGATCTCCTCAAAGACGCGCACCAGCTTCGTGTCCACCACGTGCTCGCCGGATTGGTGCGCGTACCGGAGATCGTCAACTTGTTCCGAGAGATGGCCAAAGAGGAAGATATTGTCTTGGCTGACCTCGCGCGTGATTTCAATCTGAGGGCCAAGTCAGTGAGTTGTTTTGTTTCATAAAATTCAGTGTGAAACTAAATGAAAGACCTACGTTGGCTCCATCGCATGTTCCGATGATCAGGCCGCCGTTTAGCACAAACTTCATGTTGCTTGTACCGGATGCCCTATAACATGTCAGCTGCCTAACTCAGCAATGTAAAGCATGGGAACAAAACCACGTACTCGGTTCCGGCAGTCGAAATGTGCTCGCTGATGTCCGATGCCGGAATGATCATCTCGGCCTTGCTGACGTTGTAGTCTTCCAAAAACACCACCTTGAGGAGATCCCCAATGTCCGTGTCATTGTTGACTACAGCACCGACACTGTTGATGAGATGGATGATCTGCTTGGCCATCCAGTAGCCTGGAGCGGCCTTGCCGCCAAAGATGGACACGCGGCGCATCTGCTTCTGGCGCTGCTCCGGCGACATAGCCTTGAGTTCCAGATAGCGGTAGATCGCGCCAAAGATGTTCATCTGTTGGCGCTTGTACTCGTGGATGCGTTTCACCTGCACGTCAAAGAGCGCGGCGGGGTTGACAGTTACGCCGGTAGTCGCCTTGATGTGCTTAGCCAGGCGCACCTTGTTGGCATATTTGATCTCGGCCCACTCCTTGCGGAACTCCTTGTCGTCAACGTACAGCTCGAGTTTGTTCAGGTCCGTCAGGTCCTTCAGGAAGCCGTGCCCGCCTGTCTTGCTGGCGATCAGCTCCGACAAGCGAGGATTGGCCTGGTGAAGCCAGCGGCGCGGAGTGATGCCGTTGGTCACGTTGGTAAACTTGTCGGGACCGAAGATGCGTACAAAGTCCTTGAAAATGGTGGTCCTGATGAGCTCCGAATGCAGCTCGGCGACACCGTTCACCTTGTGAGAGCCAACAATGGCGAGGTAGGCCATGCGGATCATCTTGGGCTCAGACTCTTCGACGATCGAGACATCACGCAGGAGGTCGCTGTCGCCGGGGAACTGGCGTTCGACTGTCTGAAGGAAGTAAAGATTGATGTCGTAGATAATCTGCAGATGGCGAGGAAGGAGGTTTTCGATCAGCGGGACGGACCACTTCTCGAGGGCTTCCGGAAGCACGGTGTGGTTGGTGTAGCCGAAGGTGTTGACAACAATGTTCCAAGCCTCATCCCATTCGAGGCCCTCGAGGTCAATGAGGATACGCTGGAGCTCCACGATGGCCAGCGTCGGGTGGGTGTCATTCAGCTGGATAGCAACTTGGTCGGGGAACTCCTTCCAAGAGCGCCTCGTCTTCTTGAACCGGCGGACAATGTCGTACAACGAAGCAGCAACCCAGAAGTACTGCTGCTTCAAACGCAGCTCCTTGCCGCGGTCGAGATTGTCGTTAGGGTAGAGCACGGCGCTGATTGTCTCGGCGCGTTGTTGGTCGGCGACGGAGCTCTCGTAGTCCCCGCTGTTGAATTTCTGGAAGTCGAACTCGCCGCTGGCCGCTTTGCTGGACCACAGTCTCAAGTTGTTGGTGGTTGGCGTGGCGTATCCAGGGATGGGCACGTCGTAGGCGACGGCCTTTACCGTCTCGCCGCCTTCCCACTGGCTGATTGCCTTGCCTTTCTCATTAGTTTCTCTCGAAACCTTGCCGTAGAATTGGATCTGTACGGGTTAGCCGATACCCGAGGCGGTTCTGGGGCCGCAAGAAGACACGGAACTCACATCAACGGTAACGTCGTGCCTGGGGAACTCCCACGGGTTGAAGTCAAGCCAGTAGTCCGGCACCTCAACCTGATAGCCATCGATTATTTCTTGCTTGAAGATGCCGTAGCGGTACCGCAAGCCGTAGCCCCAGGCAGGGTAGTTCAGACTGGCAAGACTGTCCAGGAAGCAGGCGGCCAGGCGTCCGAGGCCGCCGTTGCCCAGGGCGGCGTCGTGTTCCTGCTGGATGACGTCCTCGATACGGAAACCAAGCTCAGAGAGACCATCTACCGCCACCCGATTAGCAACAATCTCCTGCAACCGCCCGTTCAAGGAGAAAGAGCGCTCACCTTTTGCCAGATCCTTCTGTCCCACATTCAGCATCGCATTGTCCAGGGCGCGGCCCATCAGGAACTCCAGACTCAGGTAGTAAACCCGCTTGCTGTCGGAAAAGGTCTGACGCTGCTGTGTGCGATTCCACTCGAGGATAAGGCGGTCTCGGAAAGCGAGGGCTGTAGCCGAGTAGGCCGCCGCCTCGTCGCAGTTGTACAGACTGCGTGCCAGCGTCGTCTCGACGTGCCGCACCACCTCGCTCTCGAAGCCATCCTTGTCCTTGAAGCCGCCGACTTGGTGCTTCGTCCAGGCCTCGCGCTGGGGTTCGGGGATCGAGGCTATAGGAACGGCCTGTTAGCTGCGTTCGTTCGCTTACTGGGTGCATAAGTATGTATGTATGTACAAGTGCTTTGCAGCAGCTTCCAACCCCACATTCAGGGCTGTGAGGGGCAGCTCCAGCGGGTGAGGGGCAAGGTAGTGGGGAGACTGGATGATCCCATAGTATCCATGGAGATTGGAAAGAACGGAACGAGCAGAACATCACGAGAAGTTTATCCATACCTTCGACATGCTTGATTTCCCCGGCACCAAAGCCAGTGAGTGTGCGCTTGTGTTTGGGCCGCGAGATGCCCGCAGGAGCCACTGAGCCCTGAACATCAACAACCGGGGCCCCAAGCGAGGGCCGCCGTTCTCTGATAGGCATTTGTTTGTCGGCAGACATGATGTCGGCTTCAATTGGCTTCCTAGACGAGTTCTGAGGTGTTGTCTGTACCTAGGTAGCAGCAGTAGGGTCCTACTGGGATCAAAAGCTTGATTGGTGGGTAGGTAGGTTGGTGAGATAGGTAGAGAGAGAGAGGTGGCGATAAATGGTGCACCGGAGAGAAGAAGAAGAGGAATCCAAGCACGAGTTGGATGGGCAAGATGAAGAATGGATGGACGATGTCGAAGCGCAGCCGAGCACCCTGCCTCGTGCCTGCCCAAACTTAGCAACAGGCAGACACTGCAATCAGTCAGGTCTGGAATCCTCCGTTAACTAGGTGCTACCAACCTCCACTCTCTTTTTTGCCCATGCAGAAACACTTGGACATCCATCTCACCAAGCAGGATGCTGCGCCTGCTCTCCCCTGACGATGCGATGACAAGCTTGAAGCTCGATCCCGTCCCTCAGCGAAGCTCCCCTCTCATGCATATGCACGCAATTCTGCAACCAATCACGACAGAGAGCAAGCCCAGGCCAGAGGAGGGAGAAGCAGCGCTGGCTGGACACGATGGGGTTGCTCTTTGCGCCGAGCTCATCGTCGACCTGCCGTGCACCCGGAAGCGCCTGTAGTGGTTTCAATTGGAAGGGTGCCGGGTGGGTTGGTTCCAGGTTCCAACCGCAGTGCCGTTCTGCAGCGCCGTTGTCAGACGATACGATGCGTCTTCCGCCGGACGCAGCTTGCCCCCAGCCGATTTTACTCGCAGGAACCGAACCACCTCACATGCCATCCAGATTCCTCGCCCAATGCGGACTTTGCATAGACTCCTGAAGCGGCGCAAACACACACAAAACCCCCCGTCCATCTCCTTGGAGGCGGAGCCCGTTTGCGGCGTCTGAAGTGCCGCGAGGTTCTACGGCGCAGTGCGAGAGGGCGAAAAATGGTGGATGAATGAGCCATGGGGGCAAGTTTGAGCTCTAGCCCAGGTCTCAGATCCTTGGGGTTGGTGGAGCGTTGGAAGGGCCTGGGCTTTTTGACAACCCGCCAGGAGTGGAACCCTGGAATTGGCCCATTGCCCCGCCGCCGTTGCCGACCCCTCCGCCAGACTGACATCATCACTGTTATTCACAGATGCGGCTGCGGCAGCGGGAAGAAACCAGTGTGCTCATGATCAAAGCTTCTCAACTCTTTCCGCGTACTTGCATCTCGAAATAAAAGGCAAAAATGGTCTATTTTGCTGCGTGAGTTTTCTTCCCAAACATGGATATCCCTCGTTCTTGAACAATTCCTGGTGTTTTCTCCTTCCCTAGCTATTTCGCCACCAAGATATTAACTGCCATTCACATGAATCTGGGCCGCCTGCTGAGCGGGGCACGAAACGAGAGATAAGCGCCGAGTGGCCCGCTGCCGGGTGCGCAAAGTCGCTTCTCCGGCGGGGCCGGCGGGGGGCGGCGGGGTTTGTATGTGGTGTAGAAAACGATGGTTGTCAATGAAGCCCAGTAACTCTTACGAGCTGTTCATTCACTGTAGCGGCCTCCTGATACTTAACCTTCACTCTACCCGAAAAAACAGAGATTGAACACGCACAGCTTCAATGCTCGCCCACTAGACACTGGGTCATCTGCTGTGTGCGGACTAGAACATAATCGCTTCTCTCGCACCAGACGAGGCAGGTATGGATATTTCAATATCGACCGTTTTCTTTCCTTCCAAAGCATCGCGAATCCTGGGTTAGGGGTAACCGTCCCCTCCGTATATAACACCAACAGGGGGTTTCAAAATCACCGCGCTTGAACCACCTCTTCCCTCGCGAACATTGCGTGACCCGGTCCCCGTGGTATATATACCCCTTTTGAAACCCTAGTAAGCGTAGAAGCCAGACATGATCCCAGCAGTGCCAGCAGCATCGCGCAAGATCAACGCAACCAAAACAAATAAAATGAAAAGCATGCATCGATTAGAAGCTGGCTCGTAGGGTAGCCGTAGGGAAGTATACCGCCGTAGTCCCTGGAGGCATCGAGTAGAAACGAAGGCGAGACGTGGTGTTCCGAACGTGGTTCGCGTAGTCGCCCGAAAATGATAGAACTGCTGCCCCCTCCAACGCCGTGTCATGCAGCCCTTTGAAAATGGCTCTAAGCAGGATGGGGAAAGGAAAATCGCTAATGGTGGTGTTCGAGTTCGAGTGGGGTATGGGTTGATGGACCAGGGGAAAGAGCGTGGGTATCAGAGAATGCCGGAGTCCTTGAGTGCGTTGTTCAGGATAGTTTCCTTGACTGCTGCGAAAACGAGTCGGATGTTGGAGGTATCGGTAGCCTGTGTTAAACTGACAAAGAGGTGAGTGGGTGGGAACAGTATCTTCGGTCGTGTACTACTTACTGTGGATAGAGGTTCAGGTGGGCTCGGTTGACTTGGTTGAACCTCCAGAGTAGGTATTTGGCCGCCTTGTTGACGTCGTTCCCGCCCGAGTAGTCTGGGAAGTAGCTGCCTAATGGTGACCGTCCGAGCTTCTGCTTAAAGATATCGACTTTGTTGAGAAACAGGATAATGCTCGTTCTCATGAACCACCGCGAGTTGACAACTGAATCGAACAGCAATAAGCTCTCCATCATGCGGTTCTGTGACTGGGGTTAGCAGCGGCCATGATAACGGCGATATGACAAAATTGCATACCTGACTGGCCTCTTCCAGCAGAACCTGGTCATACTCGCTCAACGCGACGCAGAAGATGATGGACGTCACATTCTCAAAACAGTGAATCCACTTTTTGCGTTCGCTCCGCTGCCCGCCAACGTCAAACATGCTGCAAAGGGAGACTCAGATTAGTCTAGAGCATCAGAGGGAAACAGGTCTCGACTCACTGAATGCTCAGCTGTCCCATCTTGAATCTCGTCTCGTAAATACCAGTCGTCTTAGTTCTGGCCCGTAGCACGTCCATTTCCACAGGGAGGTAGTTGGGGGACACGATCCTGCTGGCCTCCTGGAAGAAGCTGCACCAAGTTAGTCATTCGGTTTCCCCAAGAGAAAATACGAAGCAGGGCGTCACGAACTATTCGGCCGAGTCCATGAGGTAGAATTCGGTTTGCCTCTCCATCAGTTGCTCCCTCGCCGGATCGTCCCATACCGCCTGGACGGCGATGCCTACCCTGGGGTCGATCCTGGCTTGTGGGTTTGTGTCGAGCGAATAATCGAGGAGAAAATCGCAGTGTTCCCGGTTCTCCGGCATTGGCTCGATTTCGAATTGGCGCATGGCGCTACATAGTGCTTTTGCGCATTCAAGCAAGTTCTTGTACACTGTCGGACGGTAATTAACGAGCTCGTCTTGTGAATAGCCCTTCAGATGAATAATCTTCATTTGCTTCACGATCGTCGACTTCCCACTCTCACCCGAGCCTGTGCATCAAGAGTCAGTATGTGGCAGCGGCCCGTGGGGTTCCCCCCTCCCCGTCCAGGACGGATGACGTACCAAGCAGGAGAATCTTGCATTCCTTCCTAAGCTTTTTCGAGTCTTCCTCGAGTTCCTTGTCTATCTTGTTGCTCCTCTTTCTCTGGTCTGAATCCTCCCCGCTGGTACTCATGCACGACCCCATGACGACCATTAGCTTGCGCGTCGATCAGGTAGGGTTAGAGGTGGACAGCGACTGTCGTAGGCCGAAAGCTGGCGGCTGCAGACAGAGTATCGGAACGTGCGACACCGTCACTCGCTGGTGTGCTGAATCTCCCTCTAAAATACCATGAGCGCGAGGGAGTTGGGGGTTGGTGCGATCGGCGAGCACCGCGACAGCGGAGATGGATGGCTCGGGCGGATGGTTGGTTGCCTCGGTGGGTCAATCGAGAACGGCCTCGACTCTCAATTGCGAGGGTCCTCCCGTGAGGAGCGAAGGGTATGTACAATGCAACAATGATGGCCAACCCCAACCAGATCGAAATTGGGAAGAAATGATAGCTGGGTTTTTGTAAGAGTTCTGTCGATTGTGCGGTAAAAATCTCGTCTTTGGTCGAGAGTTTTAGAACTCGAGGTTGCAAATGGGCGGAAAAACGCTCTGTCGTCCGGGGTGCGGCTTCGGTGAGGAGGCAATGATGATGACGGACCCTGGTCGGAAATGATGCTGGATGGGGAGAGATGATGCTGACTCGGTAGTCGTCTAGGTGGCTTCGATCTGGTGTTGCTGGCTATCGGCAGGAACCGGTTTCGTTTGAAGTTCGTTGAAGAAAAAGCTGCACTTTCGGTGTGGTGTGCATATAACACAGCGGGAACTCGGTGGGAGGGAGAAGGCAGGCCCCGATTCCTTTGTCGAGCAAGCGCCATGCACCGACACGACTCTGCAATGGGGTAACTAACTGAACTGAAGGTAAGCCCCGGGCCCGAAAGCTGGGGCGGGAGATTCAAGGACAGGGGCCAGGGTTTGTCGACTCCACGATCCACGCGAATCGAGCACGGCCACCTGTGAAATACAGCCGGTAATTACGAAGTACCTTTCTCTCTTCTCCGTTTCGCTGCAGGGCGCGATAAAAATGCACCCCCTCCGACCCCAAGGTGGGAATTCCACGGATGCTGGCTCTTTGAGCACTGACCGCCACCCTGCATCAGCTTTTTCTGGCCCTGCCAATGTCGCCTTTCTGTCATCGGTGTCGATCTTGCTCCACAGTGGATGCTGACGGACACGACATCTTTTTTCAGTTCATCAAATCTGACACTGCTCCTTGCCAAGTTGAGCTGCCATGATTGGAAAGCCTTCTTTCTCAGATCTTCTCGCGTTAATTACCCATTTAACGTATCAAGCCAGCGAGCAAGCCGTGCAAGCCTCCCAAGCCTCCCAAGCCCCAGCTAGCGACGAGCCAACCATGCCAACTGGCCGAGTCCCAGCTCAATGGCTGCTGCTCTGATGGGTTGATTTTGATGGTGTGGCAGCCGGCCCATGTGCCAAGGCGCTGTTTTGCACTGCTCCAGTCTTGGACCCCGGATCTTTTTGATTTCCAGGTCTGCATGGATTCATCCGCATTTCGCAACGCCGCAAGGTATCACGATAATGCGGGTTCATCGGCACCAAGACACGTGGAACATCCATGAGTACAAAATATCCGTACGGGGGTGCTTGCAGTCACAAGTGGGACGTCTCATGTCCTTCCCTCGGATCATCCATTGCGCATTCCGCCCATCATATACAGAGTTACTTGTATGGTGGATAATCACGGAGGTAACGTGGTGTTGCGGCGCGGAAGTGCCCCGGCAAGGACGAGCAGAAGTCCCGTTGGGCCGCTTCCCCGGGGGTTCAATCCCGACAACCACGTGTCTTCAGCCCCTCGAGAGGAGCCCGGAAACATCAACATGATCGTCGCCTGCCTGAACTCACAGACGGGCGGTCAGGGGTACGCCAACGGTATTTGGGGCCGCCACACGTCCAAAAGAAAGGAACTCCCCAATGCGGCCGACACCAACTCCTGACGGCAAGCTCGGAACTCCAGATTCGCGCCAGACAGGATATGCACGTTTTGGGATGTCCCTTCCAAGACGAGGTTGAACTCGCAGCCGAACGGCGCCAACCGATCGCGGCATGCACACCGAATGGCGCGCCAAAGGAGCCAGTCCTCTCCCCCTGGAGGAAACTGCCGGCAGTTGTCGCCGAAAAGGCACGGGACACTGTGCCGCAGACCGGTTGGGCGCCACCGAAGGTCGGTTCGGCGAGCTTGACAGGGCCCCCGGCAGGCAAGCTGGCAAGCAGGCGCTTGATCGCCGGCCATTGGAGTGGCTGGAGCCGTCCTCGGGCGGGAGCCTCGAAGCGTTCCCGGGTTCATTTCCCATCAGAAATGTGTCCTGTCAACGGGGGAAAGACAACTGATCCCAAAAGGTCGGTCTGGTGGAGCCCCGACATAGCGCATTGAGTCCATAAATCTCCCAGGAGACCCTCAAAAAGGCGTGGCCATACGCAGCCTGTGCATGCAGCTCGAGGTGATTTGCAGCAACGGCGCCCATCGTCAGTTCCCAAAACGCCTGGCTGCATGAGCCTCCCCAACTTGGCGAATCGGACACCGACTCGCTCCTCCCTTGCTTTTTCTCGGACCGAAGAGCGATACAGGCCTGACTCGTAACGACAATACGCAGGCACGCTGGTGGTTTGTAACTAACGCATATCAACATCTCTCCTCTTCTTCCTTCCGGTTCCAACCCTAACCCTCTCCTGACCGAACAACGTGACAACAACAACAGCCCCCTTGATCCTCGCTTGATGAGGATGATGTTGGCTTTGGACGTGCTCCGCGATGACAATTCCTTCTCATTTTAAGCTCTTATTCATGTAATGCGGGTTGGGACGGGCTGTCTGAATAATTCATTGTTCAAAGACCGGGACGTTTCGGGCTCTGTGAGCGTTTTGGTTAGAAATGCATGATAGTCCTCGGGATGTGGGATGCTTCTGCCTGGGATGCTTACATGGTCGGCAAGGTTACTACGAGCTCAATGGCCAGGTAGTTACATGATATGCGAGTGTAGAAGAATTGGTTTTGAATCTCACTGCTTCGAACAACTGTGCTGAACGTTGAGGTCTGACTGCTGAGGGTGAGTTGACCCGCGTCATTAACTCGACCTTTCTAGCTAACCAGCAGTCAAGATCGTAGCTTAGGCTACGCATACAGGCCGTGCCCTGCCGTGCATGAATTCGCTAGCTTAGACCACGAAGGTACATACATACATTAGGTGGGGTTGAATCTCGCTCTCGATGGCAAACAACCTCATGCATGGAAATCAGATACCATACGTAATAAACCCACTCCTCGGCCTCTTTTCCCTAACTGATAGAAGAAGCGTGCGACTGAGAGCGACCGCTTGGTCTGTTGCTGTGTTGTGTCGTGTTGTAGGTATTCATACATAATTCATCAACCCATAGTACTAGTACCGCCCCTCCGATGCCATGCCGCAAGCACACCGCGTTACCGCACCAACCTAGGCCGGCCGAACCAGGCCGGCCAGATACTATCCATCGCCTAACCGCTTTCCCCTCCCGCTCCGCCAGCCCCCTGGGCCGCCCATGCAAAGATAACTTTTTCATCTGTACGTAAGGAGGGGCAGGGAACGCTAAAAACCCCCACAAGTTCGACGGGATGATCACTTAGGCCAGATAGCCGATCTCATCCTCCTCCAGGCGCTCAAGGTACTCCTTGTCGAGCAAGATCTCGATACACTTCTTGATATCGCTAACCTTAGGCACGAATCGGGCACGGATCTGGTTGATGGCCTCGCTGACAAGCTGCTGGTGCTTCATGTGCTTGCGCGCCTTCATGATGCGCACAATGGCCGACTGCGGATATGCGTGTCAGTACGTTGAAGAAAATGAGGGGGGAAAACGGGGTCAACGACATACCTGCAACAACAGCTTACGATCTTCTTCAATCGTCTTGTTGGTCTCGGCCTCCTCCTGCTTAGTCTCTGACTTCATGCCCACGTTGAGGTTGACGCGGTACTTCTTATTCTTAAACTCATAGTTAAGAGTAAAGCTGGAGCCGGGGCCGACCTTGGAACCCCCGCCGCTCCCGGGCTCAAGGTTGAGGACCTTGGCCTTGAGGAGGATGCCGAGCGCGGGGTCGAGGGCCTCGTTGTTGAGCTGCGTCGCCGACGCGAGCTCCTCGTACGTGTTCTTGTCCTTCTCGTTGAACAAGAGTAGGATGGCCATCTGGTATATCGACACCTGGAATGTGTAGGGCATCTTGGCGTTCTTGACGTAGTTCGCCTTGACTTCGCCTTTGCACAGCTGCCACAACCACGTGAGCTTGCGGCCCTCGTGCTTGTTCTTGTAGTAACGGCTGAAGCGCTCGCAGTCTGCTGACACCTCCTCAGGAGGGTCGAAGTTGGTCCCCGGCGCCGTAAGCGGCCAGAAACCGGTGCCCAGGATCGAATATGACGAGTCGAGCCCCTTCGTCCCGAGAGTCTGGACGTGTTCCCGGAAGCCAGAGTTGAGATCCTTGGAGATCTGCATATCCAGGAACATACGCTGCAGCTTGTTGGTGTACTCGAACCCGCACGCCTCCTTGAGCTTGTTGATCATACTGGTCTCGGCATCGTCCGACGATGAATTGCTGTGGACTAAGCGACGGGCCAACATCCGAGAGTAGAACTTCTGGAACACGTCCTTGTCCTCGATGTACTTGAACACCGTCATGATCTGTACGAGCCTTGTCTCCAGCTCGGCGTCCTCCACACCCGTGCTGCTCTTCCGGAGGAGCACGTCGGTGTACTTGGCCAGCAGCTCGGGCGATTTATTAGACCCGGACTTGCAGACCTCGTTGCGATTCACAAACTCCCTGCAGGCATTGTCGAGGGACCGTGTGAACTCGGGCTCATCCTTAAAGGCGCGCTTCACCAGTCCTTGATACTGGGTATGGATTTCCAGCAGGGCGTCAACGTAGACCTTGGGCTCCAACTTATCGGCATCTGATGCCACCTTGGCGACGGCGGCAAGACCGGCGTTCCGTACGTGGCTCTCGAACTTTGTCCTCAGAGGGTCGAGACCGTCGGGGATGCGCGACAGGAGGCTGTACATGCGTGCCATGTCTTCTTCCCGGTCGTTGTCGAGGAGAACCTGGAACTCGTCGCGCAGGATGGTGGAGTGGTCGGCAATGAGTACCTGATTGCACGCCTTCTTTTAGAGGGATCCCCAATATCCGGGTGAAGGTACAGCTTGACCCGCTCCTCTTCCTCGTCAAGGGCGTTGCCCTCGGCCTTCTTCATGTATTCCACAACGCTGTTCTCGGCCACGAACTGCTTGCTCTCGTTCTCGTAGAAAACCTTAGTCGCATCGAGGAACGGACGCTCGAAGTGAAAGCGGTAAACTTCGAGAGTTGTCTTGGAAGAAATCGCCGTCGTCTAGGCCCAGCGAAACAAACGAGTCGACAACCTGCTTGATTTGGTTGTGTTCGATGGTCTCGCCGTTGCGCTGCTTCTCGACGAGCTTGAGGACGGCCGCCATGACCTTTTCCGAGACCCTGGAGAAGAGGACATCGCGCCACTGTACAAGGTGCAGGGTGTAGACATCGTAGACGTGCTTCTTGCCCTCGTCGATTTCACGCTTGACCCAGTGGCGGTTGAGGTAGCGGAACAAGTGGTGGATATATTTCGCCGCGTCCGTGTAGCGTTGCCACTCCCTGATGTAGAATGACAGGAGCGCCTCGTCCGTGTGAGCCTTCGACTCGGTGACCAGACCTTTCAAGTGCTCGGATAGATACTCCGACAACTTTTTGTAGAGGTCTTCGCCGAGAAGGTGAGCTAAAAAGGGTGTTAGCGACCAGAGGGCAAGCAGCAGGGCGGGAGCACATACCGCCCCGCTGAGACGATCCGATAACATGGCTCTGTAGGGCGAAGCCGACCGCTTTTTGGGATGTGCAAAAGTTGTGGACGGCTCTGTAAATCGTCAGTTGCCGGCGAAAAGGTACGTGACTCAGATAGGAATCAAACTGACGTGTAGATCCCCATGTACTGCGCGAAGGGTTAGCGTCAGCTCGACTTGAAGGAACATGAACAGCACATACTGTTTGCAGGTCGATACCCTGCTGGAGGTTCATCATAATCATGGTGATTCCATCTTGCAAATAAGTCCATCTATAATCCATCAGTATTTGTCCGTCACCGTGGCCTCAAACGGAAGCGACGGTGGTTAGGTCACGCACGTAGTGTCGATGTCATCCTTGACGGGCTGCATGGGCATCCCCGAGAAGCCTGCGGCAGGCATCTTCTTCTTCTTTTTTTTTTTTTTTTTTTGGTTGCAGCGCAGTCTTATCGCGCGTCGAAGAGATCGAGGAAATGGTCGAGGGCTAGGGACCAGGTCGCTTTGAGAGGGAGGATGTCGAATCGGTGAAGTCGCTTGAGGAGGGCTGTTTTGGGCTGTTTTGGTCGGTTAACTTCTGTGGTGTGAACCTCCTGGACCCCGCCTCCAGTTTTCAGGTTGTCGCACTGTGGTGACAACGGACGGAAAAGGCGAAGGAGAGGCCGAAGCAGGAAAGCTTACTTGAGGACGTTGTGAATGGTAGGCAAGCAAGCCTTCGGGCTCCCTCCGCGAGATTGAGATGTGGGGGCCCAGAGTGGCGGGGGAGCGTTGCAAGACTGGCAATCGAACTCGATGACCGGCAGAAATAGCGGGAAATAAAGTTGGTTTTTATGCTGTAGACGGTTTGTGAAATTGTTGTGGTGAATGTCGGAGAGTTGCCTCGATCGAGGGCAGATAGGTTGAAGGTTGTACGGAACAGGTCGGCTGTCCAAGGCAGCTTCCGGTCACTGCACTGCCTTTCCGCTGTTTGCTTCGCTCTGGGGGGTTCAAGGTCCCAGGCAGGAAGACCCACATGTGGGTTGGGCCCAACTCTGCCTGCGAAACGCAGCTGGGTCATGCAAGGTTAAGCGCAGCCGCTAGCAAGCGCCCCACCCCGCGCTTAACCTGGCGGACGCGGCAAACCTGCGCCCAACAAAAACGAGGATGGTTTCCGTTTTGAGAAGAGATCGAGCTTTCAGCTTGCCAGCATCAGTCCTCACATATATTCGCGCTCAAGTATTGTGCAAAATAAAATCGGGATGCAGGATTTAGATGATACGGCACATATTTACGTAGTTTCGTAAATACACTTGTAAATGCATAACTACGATCGAGTGATGTAATCAATGGGTTCTCGTGCCATCTTTTGCGGGCTCCATCCATACTAAAGAGAAATGTTGTCTTCATCGACGCTGAGGGGTATACCAGTATAAAAAAGAAAACTTAGAAATATACAATAAGAACCAACTCCAGTGTCTAACCCCCAAAATGCCTCCCGCCGAAGTTTCTCATCCCCGTTCATCGAGATGCATTTACTTGTCGTCATCATCACCACCGCCCAATTTTTGTACCAGACGGAAAACGCTCACGGCCAAGGTGAAGCTCCATGCTATCAAGCCGATCATTTGAAAAGCGGCCAGTGCCTGGCTGTACTGCCTTGTTTGCCGGTCTCCCGAATTGTGGTAGACCAGTGCCTCAAAGGCAAGGGCCGTGCTGGCCGACTTGAAAATGATGAAGAATAAATCCATTAGGACTAAGGCGATCTTTTGGTTGGCCGCACGCAGCCCCAACGGCTTTCCCGTGTACTCGTCCCATGTCATGTAGCCGATGTAGGGGATGGCGACCGAGTCAACCACGATGGCCACGATCGCCTGCGTTAGCTCTGACGAGCGGTCGCTCTCCTCCTCTTGATGTTCGATTTCGAATATCCTGGCCGAGATAGCGAGCGCCACGATGGAGGTGAGGAGCACGGTTAGGCGGAAGGCGAGAGGGACGAGCGGGTGTCGGAGTATGATCTGCCATAGCCGCTTGTAGAGCACCTTTCTTCGTGTTTGTCTCCTCCCGGTGGTGCCGTTGGCGTCGCGGATCTCAACCGGCGAGTTGAAATCGGGCTGCATCTTATCTAGCGCCTCGGGATCGACAATCTCGGCCTCCTCGTTCGGCAAGCGGCCATATCGAGACGACAGCACGTAGCTGTGCCACGGCGAGTCCGGGGTCGCCCGGCTGAAGCGCGGCACAATGACGGGTTCGGCAGTGCGCAAGTGGTCCCATTTCCTCCCCCTCTCGGAGCCATCGCCGCGTTTGAGCAACTTGCGTAGCCTTGCCCTTGATGTCCGCGCCCCCTCTAGCCCCAGCACAGCCGGGTTTTCGTAGACGAATCCATCTTTCGACACTCTCCTCTGCGCGTGGCTTGGCGAATGGTTGTGATGGGCCGGCAGGGCGCGTGGAGGGGGCGAGGTCAGAGCGTGAATCTGGTTCTCCGTCGGGGTGCCGTATCGCGTTTCGTACGAATCAATCCATGCTGTCACGTAAATTTCAGCCTTAAAAACCCATCATAGCGCGTGAAGATGGGGGTATTCTTACCTGGAAGGGTCCGCGTGAGGCGCCGCTGGGCAGGGGTGGACTGTCCAGCAGTGCTCTGAGACCTCGTCGACGGTCGTGGCTCAGAGTGGTGTGAACTTGACGGCGGCTGGCCCGGAGTTGCCATTGCCGAGACTGGGGATGCCCAGTACGGTTGAGGGTAGAAAGGGGGCAGGTGGGCGACTAATAAGACTGTTCAAGTAGCGATACCTCGGCGCATCAAGACTGGCAACGGGGATTTCGCATGGAGCGCGAGGGTTGACGGCCTGGAGGGGACGAGAGAATGAGGATGGGCGAGACCCGAATGTGTCGCTGCATGATGCGGCAATCGCTATGAGTAGGGTTGAAAATGCGGGTTACCCGACTCCGTCGTGTCGGGTGTCCAAACTGGCCGCCTTGGTTCGAGCATGCGCGGTGGTTGGGGTGATGTTGGCCTAGGGTGGTCGGTTTTTGAGCCGTCAGCGCGGACTTGGCAGCGGCAGCAGCTGGGTTCCATCTTTCCTCAGTGGCGAGACCCCTGGCGGCACGGACCAATGTTTTCGACCGGATCCACGAGCTTAACCACAACCGAGCGATGACGACAACTGCGACAGCCACGCAATGTCCTCGCTGTCGATGCTGTTTTTAATAGCTACCTGTCTTTTTACTTTGTTCACAGCCTACCTGACCATTTCATATTGAGATAAATAATTCAATTGGATTCTTACGAATAACTAGAAGAAGCCAAGAAAATATCAATGGGAAAAGGCATTGTTGACAGCGCATTCTGTATGTACCGCATTTCGTCCATTGTTGTGCTTGCTACCCTTCGAGTTCAGTAATCGAGGTAGGTGGTTTCATACCTAGGTAGGTCGGTACCTAGGTAGGTATCCCCCAATGCACGCTTGAACACACATTCTTTGGATGAGACCTGGACCCACGAGAGTTTAACTTGCAATGCGAGAGGTAACTCGGGAGTCCCTCCATCAGTCTGTCTGCCTTGCAGGCCTCCGGTCTGGCCCCGCGCACTTCCACATTGGGCATGTGAATTCATGAAGCTTCCCAGGGGCTTGGAGGATAACAGGGGTTGAGACGGAAAATGCTTGACATTTTGTCGACATGGGCCTTGATGCACCCTGTCACTCCACTTTAAACACCATTTTGGCCACTCACGATGAGAGATTGACGGCATCTGCGTCACTGATTTTGGTGGCAGGTTCGCAGGAACTCAAAATCCCAGCAAGCTTACCCAAAATATTCTGCAACAAGAGCTGGCTCTGTCTGGGAACGCGCGGTTGTTTGCCACCACCAGTCGTCCATTCGCATCCAGACCATTGACATCTTCAAGTACAAGATGCGCTGTCGCGGTCTTTCTTTCTGGGCCTAAACACCGCCGGATTCCTCTCTTTTTTTCCTTTTTTTCTTCCCCTCGCGCGCGCAGCCGATAACAGCAACAAGGGCGCCGATCAGCTAGCTTTTGGCCGACTTTGGCTTTTTGCGATAGACCCCGCGAGGCAGCCAAGGCCTCCCTCGACGCGCAACACCATGCGCCTCTATCTACTGCCCATCTCGACAAGGCGCACGCTGCTATACTGCCAGCACCTCAACTTGCCAGCCTCGGAAAAGCCAACTTGGTCCAACTGGCTGCAGGCCAAGGCTGCGCGCACATGGTCTGGTTGGGAGAAGAAGGAAAAGGGTTGGCAGAAATCGGTCGTCAACTATGGCAACCAAGCCCTCCGGCGCATCCCTTACGAGGAATGGGGGCTCAAGTCGGTGCCTCCACTATCGCAGCGCCGAAGGCAGGTTGAGCTGAAGGGCGCCGAGAAGGTCGAGGTGGTTTACCCCAAGAGCCTGCTAGCGATGGATAAGGTGCCCCAAATCTTGAAGTCGCTAGCAACCGACAGGGAGGCGCTGCATAAGAAGAGGTTGATATGGTGCTTTGTCGGCATGCCCATCACAGCGCCTGTTGCCATCGTTCCGGTGTAGGTTCACACCGGTTCTCGGGTCCACGAGTTGGCTGGCTAACACATTGCTTACCGATTGGAGCATTCCAAACCTCCCCTTCTTTTACCTAGTCTACCGCGCCTGGTCGCATTGGCGAGCGCTGTCTGGCGGGAAACACCTCCAATTCCTCCTCAAGAACAACCTCCTCGCCCTGACGCCATCTCCCGTCGTCGATGCGGTGTATGCCGCGCAAAAGGAACCCCTACCATCCACCCCCGAGCGGACAACAGATTCCGACGAAAAAATCGTCGAAAATCTCGATCCTGCCTCGCCAAATGGCGCACAGGATCCGGACGGTGAGACCATGCTGCTGTCGCAAGCCAACGGCAAAAGGATGACGCAAGCTCTCGACCTACCCCAACTGGAAGTTGAGCTTGAAAGAGCCATATGGCAGGTCGAGACGGCCATTAAGAAACGCAGCGCCGAGGTTGCTGCAAAGAACGCCCAAGGGCCTGCCAACGAAAACGAGAAAAAGTCATAATGACCGTCAAATGATAGAACCATGTATTATATTCCGCTGTGGTACCTAGCCGGGGTTGGGAGTGGATAGGGTTGGAGCGCTTAGACGGGGTGGAGTTATTGGTTTGATACCTCATGGCAGTGATGCGGATGGCGGCGGATGGGCGGACGATTTCACGATTTAAATCCGACTCGACTCGACTCTCTCACAAACCGCGCACCCTACGTGATCTCACCACAACCGTGAAACCGCCCAGCGAAGTGCCTGCTCCGCCGAACCCACCACCACCACCACCACCCGAAAAACCTCACCTCTCCGCCGGAGGAGGCCTCCCATCGCCCGCACTCCCAAACGCGCTCACCAGCCCATGAACCAACCCTATCCCCAAAAACAACGCCACCACAACCATCACCCGCCGCACACCAACTCCCCCCTTTCCAACACCAACACCACCACCACCACCACCAACCCTCCGCCGCCCCGCCCGCTTCTTCACCAACGGACCCCCATGCAACGGCAACACCATCCCCCCCGACCCGGACGCGCCCGCGCCCGCGCCCACGCCCACGCCCACGCCCACGCCCGCCGAACCACCCAGCAACAGCAGCGTGGGTGACAGCAGGGGCGACGTCAGCGGGAAGGATCCCTCGTTGGTGTCGTCGTTGTCGTGGTACCCGTAGGGTACGGGGGTTATGCCGAGCCCGATGTCGCTGGATATAGCCTCGTTGAAGGTGTTGGGGGTGTGGGGGGTGTGGCCGATGTGGTCGGTGTAGGGGGTTGGTGATGGGAGCCAGGCGCGGGTTGAGGAGGGTTGAGGGTTTAGTTGGGCGGCGGGGGAAGTTGAGGGGCTGGGTGGTGGTTGGGTTTTGGGGCCATTGCTGTCGCTGCTGTCGCTGCTGTTGCGCCTGTTGTTGGCTTGAGGGTTGCTGTGGCCATGGTTGCTGTTGGTTGGGGTGGGGGGGAGGATTGACAGCAAAGTCGATCAGGTGGTGTTGGTTGCTGCTACGGAGGTGCTCGGTGCCGGGATGCGGTTTCAATAGCACGTAATGCCGCAGTGTCTCGCAGCGCCAGGCGGCAGCGGCCTTTTGCCGGACGAGGCGCTCGGTTGGGCTCGCGTGGGCGAGGGCGGCATATTGCTGCGGGAGGCTGGACGGGTTGGCGTTTGGTGGTTTTGCTCTGAGGGAGGGTTGTCGCTGCTGTTGCTTCTGACGAACTTTGATGACGTCGAGATAGGTGTTAGGGTTGAGAGGGGAGGGGACTAGAGGGGCGTATCGGCGTCGGTCGGGTGGTGGTTGTGCTGGCATGTCGAGGTTCTGAGGGTATCTTGGTCATGTGGTGTAGGGCTTTTGGGTCATCGCAAGATCTACAGTTTCCGGTGGTTGCAGGGAGTTTAGATGCGCGGAGCGACTGGCCCTGATGCCGGGACGCGGCGCATGGGGCGGAGTTTCGTAGGGTGAAACAGGCGTGGGTGAGTGCCACGCCACCCTCAGGAATGTACGCATGTAACCGGCAAGTCGACGACGGAGATCAATATGTCACGGGCCAAGCCTTGGAAAGTCCAATTTCCTTGGGCCAATCGTGCTGGGGACATGTACGTGGTCAAGCGAGGATGACGTGGAAGCATAACACCATGTCATGATGACTCGTGAGATGAGCTCTCAGATACCAAATGGGGATAACCTAACCGGGGGCCGCAAAGGAGGGCCAACTTGGAGACTCAAGCGAACGGCACCGACAGTGACACCCTCACATTCGTATTCTGTGTCTTGTTGGCCGTGACAGGTCTTGTTCCTGCTTCGAACACGACCAGCATCTCTGGGTAGGGTAGCAGTCGTCTTGTCCGAACACCTAACCAATAACCATATTGTTGGGTCTCTTGGCTGGGCCTCTTAACCCCTCGAATATAGATACCGGCCGTTATGTATAAATGGCCCCTTGTTCCTTATCTCCTCGCTTCCCAAGCCCGAATCCCGATAACCTCGGTGACGTGCTAACCCAACAATGCAAACAATCAAGGAGTGCGTGCATCCCCCGCTACGCTAGTGCTGCAACGGCTGCAAGTGATCCGTTAGCGAGCAAGACCCCTGTTGCTGATCAGGTCTGTGGGCGCTTCGTTCAACACCAAAACTTGATATCAAGCCGAATCTGATCGTGCAGCGATCAAGTTGTACAGACGGGACACGGGAGGATATAATTTCCTTGGCTTGCAACCAGTCGCGGTACAGGGAGCGAAGCGAAGATGTGAGCTATCAAGGACGCAGTAGGACGGCTCTTCCAAAGATGAACAAGTTGAGGCATGCGAGAGGTGTGTCCCAGCAGTCCGTCCAACTCTGACATTAAAACTAAACATGTCATAAACGCAGCAGTGTGGTTTTTTGTTTTCCCACCCTTTTATTCCGAGTGGTCAAGGCCCTTAACCCGCCTATGCCGCTGTACTCCCAACTCCAACCAATCCATATTTTATACCACCACCCACCTCAATCCGTGAAAAGAGAGAGGATCATGCGCAAGGACTGTGTAAACAGCCCCCGGACCACCGGCGACCTCTGCCCAGGCTGGCTGCCGCCTCCCCAGGCCTAGAGGTGTCGGCGGAGGGGTTAGTTCTTAGCCGAAATCGTGGAAAATGCACGGTAATCCAACCTGCCGGCAAATCCTAGTGTGGCTGAAAAAAACAGGTATAAAACCATGTCGAGCTCAAGCTCCATTAACCACGGTGCCGCCTCAGGTAGGCCAAATCAACAGAAGTGCTGCTAGGCTGAGGAGCACCCGAGCGACACACTAAGCTAGGCGTAGCCATCATATGCAGGAAATTGGACTAGATGTCCGCCGATCCGTACCCGGATGGAATCGGCCTATGACTCCGGCAGGGAGGCCAATGCTGCCTCCTCTGGGGTGGGAGCAGCGTCGTTGAGACGGGGCTTTTTAGCACGGCTGTTGTCCTGGACCTCAAGCGACTCTTTAGCCTCTTTAAGCTCAACCTCGAGCTCGTCGAGCCTTCGCTTGAGCATGTTCTCTCTTCTGTGGCTCTCCTCGAGTTCCTTCTGCAGCTGCGCATGCGACTCGTTCATGACACTGAGCTGTGTGTGAAGCTGCTCATTGGCCTCGGACTTGCTCTTCTCTTGCGCCTGTCGGTTCGCTTCCTCTTGCTCAAGCTGCTGGATCCTTCCCCTGTACAGTTCCTGGATGACTTCGAGTTCGCTCACGCGCGTCTTCAAGCTCGCATTGGTCGCAAGAATCTGTTCGTTTGTCTGCGGCATATCGAGGCGGTCGCCGTTCAAAGGCGATGGGGCACGGCCGTCGGGTCCCCCAAACCCGGATAACTGTTGGGCCTGGAACTGGTCCTCAAGGTTCTGGTACATGGGGGCTATGTGCGAGGCATAGAGGGTGGGCGTGCCGGTCCGGGAAATCGGAGAGTGTGTGTCGTCCAAGACTCCATTGGCTGATTTCTGCGAGGCCCTACGGGCACCGTTTACAGCGCCGAGGTCTGCGCCGTTCATGTCACCTGCTTGAGCCAGGTGCTGTTGTTGTGCTTGCGCCTGTGCCTGTACACGGTTAGGCTCAAGCGAGCCGGTCAATCGGGGGAAAGACAGCCTACCTTTTTCTGCTTGGCGAGGTCGGGCCGTATTGTCTTGACGCGGTTACGACTCTTGATTACGTCCGTCTTGAGCGAGATGGGCCTGGGCCGGCCGTGGAGCTTGAGGAAGAGGCCGCAGGCGTTGCAGAGAACTGCACCGGTCTCGTCTCGTCGCCATAGCGGGGTGGTGTGCGTCTCGCAGTTCTGGCAGGTCGCCTGGGAAGTCGCACGATCATGGTTAGCCATGGTCGCCATAGTTCCGTGCGATGCGTCGCAGAGCGGCGCCTTGTACACAAGGATATAAGTGACGGGGAGAGATTAGATGGGAGATAAGGGGACGATAAATGGGGATGGGGAATAGATAAAGTGGTGGCCCGGACCGCGATGATAAGCCTGGGTGTTCGGGTGATAAGGAAATTTTTTGACCAAGTCGACTCGCAAACCAGGAAGGTGGGGATCAACAGATAAACGGCTAGCGTGGGCCAGTGGGCTTGACGAGCGCCCCACCACATGCTCAATGCAGCTCACGGGCAGAGAGCCAATGAGCAACTTGGTCACGACATTGGCCGTGAAAGGCATTTGTGAGAGGCATTGTAAGGCGTGAATGAGTGTTCTAGACTGAGGGGAAACAAGTGAGAATCGACGAGGAGAGCAACTTGGATACTTACAGGACTTCCACCCGGAGCAGGATGGGTGCTGGCGTTTGAGGTTGCCGGATACATAGCGGGCGCAATTGAAACAGGTCTAAGAACAACAAAACGCGGTGTTAGCAAAGAACAAGGGGCGGAGAAGAGCTGCCCGTTGATAGCCCACACTTTGCCATCACAACCGGCATCTTCCAGTATCACGTCCAGACACCACAGTACCACTAACCCTGGTTGCGAAGAGTCTGCGAGGGGGTTGCTGGTGGCAAGCGCTGGGGTGACGGGCAGAGAATGCATGAGGTTCTGGGGTGCTGAGTCCTCCTGTGTTGATTCTGAGCCGGGCCCCGAAGCTGAGACTGGATCGGCATCCAGCGCCGCAACGGCCTGAGGCGGCAGGCTGTCCAGCTTTGGTTCATCCATAACGGAATCAGGGTGTAGTGTCACCAACGAGTCAAACTCAGAAAAATCTGGAGTCGGTATCGAAGCCAGTTTGATGGTGTCTCGGGTTTGAGTTTGTTGAAAGGGGTTGGACTGGACGGCGTTCGAAAAACGCGGTCAGGTCGTCGTGGTCCGGGACCAAATAGGCCGAGGCTGAGCGGGGATCAAAGACGCGCCGGCAAGACACTGGAAAGTGAATGGGCCGCGCCCAGAATGCTAGAGATAGATCGAAATCAAAATGAAGTCGTCTGATGCGCCAATCGCACGTGGAAGGACGAAGTAGAGGGTGAAGCGAGCGACTCAAGAAGACGACAATGAACACAGGGCCGTTGGCTTCCTGTCGTGACTATACTACGATGTCAGGGTTTCTATGATGCGTCACACAAGTAGAGTGATGAAAAAATTGGGAGAACGGCAAGAATTGCAACGAAGCGGTGTCCGTTTATTCTCACAAGTTTTGTCGATGGATGTTGAAGAAACGAAGGATGCAAGTGAGAGAACAGACGAAATCAAGCAGGATGGTACGTACCCACATGAAAGTGCAGGGTGCAAGGGTCTGTGCGAATGCATGACGGGGCTCTCTGAAAAAAAAAAAAAGAAAAAAGAAAAAGCTGAGCTCTTAGTGTTGGCGCCGAAACCTTCGAGAAGGAGAAGGAAAGGAAGGCCATTCTGAAGCCTAAAGTCCACGTTTTATTTAACTCGGCGTGTTTTTGGTTTCTTGATTTATTTTACTCGGTTTTCTTTACCTCTTCTTTTCCTCGGTTTCCTTTCTTTCTCTGTCCTCCAAGCATGAGAGTTACTGGAGAAACCCTTGTTTGGGGCCAGGTCATAACAGCTTACGAGTTAATCATCCTGCTTCATCTAGACGGAATTGATAAGGCGATTCACATCCAGCATGTGAAGACCGGTTTTGTCATATGTTTTGTACTTGAACTCTGCGAGACGTCTGTAGCCCAGGCGATTTCTTCCGATCCCGCATATCCCGGGAACTTGACCTGCTGTTCATTTTTCAATCCCCGCGGAAGTGAAGGGAGTGAGAACGACAAGGCTAAGGCAAGGTACAGGAGGATGAAAATACCTATTCAGTTGAAGAGTATGCACATACAAAGTTTGTTGACTTCGCGATTCAACCAGCCATACCCATGCGCTATATTATAGTTGATTGGTGGGTGCTGCGGCCGAAGTGGAGCACGGCTGACCCCGCCAGTCAGAAATCGGAATCTCTAAGAATTTCAGAAGCATGGATCGCAGTTTGCTGCATGCAGCCGAAGAAAAGCGCAACACCAACCAGCATTGAATTCAACAGCCAGCAACACGACAACAGGGCGTAAGATACCGAAACTGTCGAATATTAACAGAGGCAAAAAAACGCCAATCAAATACCATGCCGTCGACGCACAAAAAAGAGAAGCCATGGGACACGGACGATATCGACAAGTGGAAGGTCGACCCTTTCACCAAGGACGAGTCCTCAGGCCCATTCCTTGAGGAATCCTCCTTCATGACCCTCTTCCCCAAGTACCGCGAGCGATATCTCAAGGACTCTTGGCCTCTCGTCACAAAGGCTCTCGACAAGCACGGCATCACCGCGACACTGGATCTCATCGAGGGCTCGATGACAGTCAAGACAACCAAAAAGGTATTTTAGAGGCGCGACTCTGCCGCAAAGTGCTAGGGTGCTGACCACCGAGACAGACATTCGATCCAGCGGCGATTTTGAATGCGCGAGACCTCATCAAGCTCCTGGCACGGTCCGTACCGGCGCCTCAGGCCATCAAGATTCTCGAGGACGGCATGGCGTGCGACATTCTCAAGATCCGGAGCATGGTGCGGAACAAGGAACGGTTCGTGAAGAGGCGGCAGCGGATACTGGGGCAGAACGGCACAAGTGAGCGAAAGGAGCCCTTCCAATGGCGCACCGATGACTGACGTTGCGTGTAGCACTGAAAGCACTCGAGTTACTCACGGAGACGTACATCCTGGTTCACGGCAACACGGTATCGGTAATGGGGTCCGTTTAAGGGACTAAAGGAGGTCAGGAGGGTGGTAGAGGACACGATGCAAAACGTGCACCCAATCTACCTGATCAAGGAACTGATGTGGGTGTTGCAGACGCCACCACACATGCCAACGGTCTGCTAACAGGCCATTAGGATCAAACGCGAACTAGCCAAAGACCCAGAACTAGCACACGAAGACTGGAGCCGGTACCTCCCCAACTTCAAGAAGCGCACGCTGTCCAAGCGGCGGACGCCGTTCAAGGTCACGGACAAGGCCAAGAAGACGTACACGCCGTTCCCGCCGGCGCCCGAGAAGAGCAAGGTGGATCAGCAGATTGAGACGGGCGAGTACTTTTTGGGCAAGGAGGCCAAACACCGGGCGGCCGAGGCGGAGCGCGCCGAGAAAGCCAAGCAGAAGAAGGAGGAAAAGAAGCGGGAGCGGGAACGCGAGTACGTGCCGCCGGAGGAGGGCGCGGGCAAACCGAAGAAGAGAAAGACAACGCACGACTGAGCGGTGGGGAGGAGTGGCGGTGGTTGTCGGGGTGGTGGCGGTGGAAGTTTCGAAGAGGAACGATCTATCAAGTTCGACCTTCGAATCTCATGATACCCATGCAGGAACATATTTGACCCGGTGCAGGTGCTTTGTTCGTGGGCGGTGTGGTTTTGGGACAACGTTGCCAGGCCGGGCAGGGCGGGAGGCTGGACAGCCCCTGGAGACGGAAGGGTGGATTATTAATGGGGATCTCCTGCCCGGTTGATGGGCCGAGGCAAGCGCGTCATCGGCATCCGCTGGTGCGGGGAGGTGGGGGCAGTCCAGGCAAGGGCGCTGAGTTGTACGCTGCATTCGGATATATACAACAAAGCTATAAGTAACCCAAGAGAGTGGAGGTAGCAGTCGCCAGAGTAAAGTAGATATCTACTGATTGTACTTACAAGATATCAATTCACACAATACACAACCGCCTAGATCAATCAAAACCGCCAGACCACATCGACACATCAAGATGCCGTACGAA